ACATGGGACTGCTCCCCCCCTCCCCCTCCCCAAGGCCACCACCCGGAGAAGCAAGTCAAGCATAAGTCCTGTAGGCAGGGGGAAGTCCAAGGGAGGAGGAAGGAGAATGCAGCTCTATTTATTTATTCAGCGAGCAGGCTTTGGCTCTGATGTGGCATTTCAGATGTTCTTTAAGCCTCTCACTGAACCCAAATAAGAGATTTCAGGATGAGAAGGCATTTGAAGACAGCACAGTTCAGTCTGAGGTCCCAGGGCAAGACAGACATTTGTTCCTCCTGTTTGTAAGTCAGGAAACTTCGGTCGTGGACAAGTAAATAATGTGTCCAAGAGACCCCGCTGTGGAGGAGCGGCGCCGGGGCTCCCGCGTCTCTAGGCCCCTCACTTCCAGTTGTAAAGCCCCTGGGTCTGCGAGCTGGGCAGGGGCGTAGGCCCTCAGCCACTGGCACGTCTCTGAGAGCGCTGCCGCCTCAGTGCAGGCCTTTGTGAAGCTTTCTATGGCATTTTCCACCCCGAGCCTGCCCACTGCTCATGACCTTCGCTGCTCCCATCCTGGCTGAGGTGCCACACTGTTTTGTCTGAATTAGTTTGTTTTCAACAGAGCAGCCAGAGCGAACCTGTTAGACCTGTCTGTCATATCAGGTTCCTTCAACACTGTCCCATAGCTTCTTTTCTATCTCGAGGAAAAGTCAAAACCTTATAATGACTCATAGGGTCTGCCCCCCTCCACTACCTTTGACCTCGTTTTCCAGAACCTTCTCCAACGCTCATTTCACCCCAAATTTACCAGCCTCCTTGCTCTTCTCCAAACACCTTAGAAATGTTTCTGACTCAAGGTCCTTGCACTTGCTGTTTCTTCTGTCTAGGATTCTCTTTCTCCAGGGAGCTTTAGGGTTTGGTCTCTTGCTTTCTTCAAGTCTTTGCTCAAACATCTCCTCAGTGAGCTTGCGCTTGACTAACTCATTTAACATTGATCCCTTTCCCCACCCTGCTGCCAGCCCTCCCTCTCCCCCTTTCCTGCTTCATTTTTCGGCTTGGCATTTGCCTTCTTCTAACATGCTAAATATTTTACTCGCTTGTTTTGTTTACAGTTGGTCTCCCTTCACTAGAATGAAAGCGTCAATCTACTTTGCAGGAGTTTTTTCCTCTGTTTTGGGCAGTGCTGCATCCCAGAATCTAAACACTGTCTGACAGAGTAGGTGCTCAATAAATATTCATTCAAGGAATGGGTGAAGGAATGATCCTCTCTTCCCACAGCAGCACTGTGCTCTACTCCCTTCGGCTCTCCTCTATATTAAATGACTACCAGCTTATCTGCAAAATATTATTCAGTAAATGAGTTGCTCTCTCTAGAATGATCTCTCTTCAAGCACATTAATGATGAGCTTCAGTGAAGTTCTTTAGGGTTCATAGGCCCCTTAAAGAATTCAATAAAAGCTTTGGATACTCTTCCCAGGGATATGTTCAGACAAAACGATTTTGAGTTCAACTGCAGGGTATTTTCGAACCCCTGTCATCCATCTATACACCCCAGGTAATGAATCCCAACTTTAAGTTTTGAAGTCACTCTAGTGACAGTCCTGCAGAGCTAAGACCTCTTTCTGTGTCAATCACCTTCCTGGCTCCCTTTCTCCCTTGATGGGAAAGATGCCCCACGTGGTTTGCACAGCACGTCCAACTTCTTCCCCGTGGCTCCTCCCGCCGTGTAGCTGGCCCTGAGCATTCCTCTCACCTTATCTGATTCAGGAACCAATTCCAATGTGGGTGTGTGGATGTTTTTTACACGTCATAGACACCAGCTGGGAGTCCTAGGATCTAACTCAGTTCTGACATTACCTACCCAGATAGCATCAGATCCCGCAAGGTAAGGGCTCAGAACTGAGCCCAATCACGCACGCACTTCAGATGCCAATCACAAGTCCAGGTTGTCACCTGTGCTTCTGGACGACTGGCTATAGACCTCCTCCTTGGATTTGATTAATTTGCTAGAGTGGCTCATAGAACTCAGGAAACCAGTTTACTTACTAGATGCCAGTTATTATAAAAGGATATAACTCCGAAATAGCCAGATGGAAGAGATGCATAGGGCTAGGGAAGGGGGAAGGGACATGGAGCTTCCATGCTCTCTCCAGGAGCTCCACTCTTCTCACACCTCCATGTGTTCACCAACCCAGAAGTTCTTTGAATCCTGTCCTTTTGGGTTTTTATGGGGCCTCATAACACAGGTACGATTGATTAAATCACTGGCCATTAGCAATTGACTCAACCTCCAGGCCCTCTTTCCTCCTCTGACTTCTGAGATTAAAAGGTGGAACTGAAAGTTCCAACCCTCTAATCACATGGTTAGTTCTCCTGGCAACTAGCCCCCCACCCTTAGGTGCTTTCCCAAATATAAAAGATACCTTTATAACTCTCATATAGGACATTCCGAGAGTGTTAGGAACGCTGTGCCAGGAAAGGAGTCAAAGACCAAATATGTATTTCTTACTGTCACGCTATCACACCTTGGAGAGCAGCCCCTTCCCCAGAAGTTCTGGATACAATTCCAGGTTTTCCCAATTTAAGTAGGAGAAAGGGAAGAGAGAGGATCACAGCTCCACTCCCAGCGACTTGTTCCCAGGCTCACAGCTGCCAGTTTTCTCCAAAACTCCTCCCCCTTTTAGTGAGAGGGCTGGCTCTACCTTCCCTGGAGCCCCACATTGAAACCTGGTCTCTGTCCCATCCCCAGGGCACAGGCAGTTCACACTGCAAATTGTTACTCAGTTGGGACCTGTCCTGCCCTCTTCCTCTGGAGCCTGGCCATCTGAGGTTTTTCTCAGGCCATTGCTGGGTGCATAAACACTGCACTAAATTGTATGTAGCTCTGCTCAGCCCAACCAGATTATAGGACCCTGGGGTAAGTCCCATGTGTTAAGGGTCTTGTGTGTTTACCAACACTAGGCATAGAATATATAAATATTGAATTGTTAAGTGCCTAGGTTCCTTTGCTTCCTCTCATTTTTGAAGTTCTCCGTGTCCTTCAGAGCATGATTTCACAATCTGTAGCACAGTGTGGCTTGTGAGAGTGTGCTGTTTCCGTGATTCACTGTTATTCCATGTGCTCTGGTTCTTTCTCTCTAGCTAAACTGGACATTAAGAGGGATGATTTTTACTTATTTTCATTAATCCCCTCATTCTCCTGCCCCCAGATTCCAACAGCAGACAGATACAAATTTATTCACTTGCTCAACAAATGTTTCTTGAGCATGTGTCCCATGCCAAGCACTTGTGCTAGCACCAGGGGTACAACAGGGAGACAGAGAGAGAGAGAGAGAAAGGAGGAGGAGAGGAGAGAAAAAGAAAGACTAAATCCTTTCTCTCAATGAGCTCACAGTATAGTAGAAGACACAGAAATTAATTAAAGACTAAAAACCAAGAAAACCATAAAATTACAACTCTGTTAAGCACCACAAAGGAAAAACACATGATAGCATGTGGGGGGCAAATTATGTTTGCCAAGAAATTCAGGGAAGCCCTGAGCTAGTGATGATTAAGCTTAAATCTGAAGGGCTAATAGAGCCTGCCTAGGCAGAGAAAGGGGAAGAGGAAGTGCCTCAGTCAGAGAAATAGCATGTGC